TTTTTTTTATAAACGTCATAACAGGAACAGAGCGGATAGTTTGAAGCTTAAGAGATAGCAGAATAACAACTATACTTTCATAAAATGTTAACAAAATCTCTTCTGTTTCTTTCCTTTAAACATGCTCACTTAAAACAACAACCATGCTGTTTCACAGGTATATATTTAGTTTTCAAATTAGCAACTAGTCAGAACATAATTTCTTATTTCTATAGTACTTTTGTTCTCAAGGCCTCAAGTTGTTTATCAATATTTTTCACAATGCCTCCTTGTGGCGTGATCCCAGACATAAACTTAGAGATGTAAAAAACCCAGAGAGTATGACTGACAGAGCATGGACTTAGGAGTCCAATCTTTTGAGCCTCGGGGCTATTTTTACCACAGCCCAAACGAGCTTATTTAACTTGCAAGGAATACCCTCTAACTGTGAGACACTTCACTTTCACACTTCCTACCCACTTTTCCATAATATGATCCAACTCTATATTTCATATATATAGATAGATAGATATAATACTAACAGTTAAATTACCGACATTATTTTTCAACTTACTTTGTTCAATACCATAATTAATTCCATATTCTGACTATATCTGTAATACCTAATAGGAAATTCAATTCTTTGTACTTGACCTACTTAAAATTCTGATACTTATTATTATTTATTATTACTGGAAACAAATTATACTTTAAAGCAGACATTGAGCCTAGTTGCTAGTGGAACAAACAGGATCTTCGCACTAGTTTTGTTTGACTTCTCACAGTTTCAAAAATCATAACTAGGGCCAACTGGTGGCACAATGGTAATACAACACTCTGTGATGCTGGACCAACAGGGAGGGCCCAGGTTCGCCTCCCAAAGGCCTCCTTTTGCAGGTGCATAAGTGCATGTTATCCAGGCTGGGCCAGTGTGAAGATACTCTCTCTCTCCACCTCCTTCTCTCTCATGGAATAAATAAATAAATAAAATTAACTTTTAGACGAGTTTGTTAAAAATTGTAATTACAAGGCCAGCTGATGGCATGGTGGTTATGGTGGCTGGATCCCACATGGCCAACTGTGTGGTTTGAGTTCTGGACTCAGAGGATTGAAAAATATGCTAAGTACATGTACGTGCATGCCCAGAATCACAAAAAGAGAAACGGAGAAGGGATTGCAGTGTGACCATCTCTGTGGTGATGCTTTCTCTCTTTCTCTCTCCGCAAATATACACACCCTTTGGCAAATTAAAAAAAAAAAAAAAAAATAGTTGCTAACATTTAAATATTTAAAGTTTTCTCATAAAAAGTTCAGACCTACATTCTAACTTGTGAAAGGGAAAAACCTGGCCACCCTGGGGTTCCCAAATGAACTGTAAACAAATACCACCTATCTACATAATATAAGGCAATACTGTTTGGTTTATCCAATTTCCTACCTGGATTTTACACATTTTATCTAAATTCAAGCTTCAACCAATGTTTAAAAGTTCTATTCCACTTTCTAAGAAAAAAGTTAAAATTGAGACATATTTGGTGGTGGTTAAGGGCACTGGATTCTCACATAGCCAACTGCAGTTTGAGTCCCAGCCTGGCGGCTTGCTTTCTCATTTTGCTTCTCTCTCTCTCACACTGACATATATGTTATTAAGATTATATTGAGACTGGGGCTGGAAGATGGTGTGGTGCTTAAGGGCTCTGGACTTCCATCACAGTTCAAGTCCTGGACCAGTAGCTTGCTTTCTCGCTTTCCCTCTTCTTTCTCTCTCTCTCTCTTGCTCTGTCCCTCTCTGGGCAAATTAAAATAAATAAATAAATAGATAGATAAATAAAGTTAAATAAAATAATTCTTTAAAAAAGTTGAGACATATTGAAACATGGTACATTTTAAAGACATTCCAATGAGTTAGAGGAGAATGGAGTAGTACAGGACAGTAGTAATAAACTTGGTCCTTGTAGCAGAACAGAACTGGTTCAAGTCCTGGCTCTGACACAAGGTTAGTGACCTTGTGTAAGTTAGTTGGCCTCTGTAAGTCTTAGTTTCCTAATCTGTAAAACAGAGATAATAATACCTACCTCAAAGGATAGGTTGTCTTCAGCATATAATATGATTAGTACTTGTTCAGTGCTCAGCACTTTGTAAATCTTCAAAAAAAGCAGTTACTTATCTATTACTATCACAAGTGAAGGAATTCTATTTTTCTCTTAAACATACTAAAGGTAAGGTGGTCTAACAGAAAGTACTGAAATGGGGAGCTGGGACCTTGAAAGATCTAGGTTTCAGTTCAATTTCTGATCTCAGGGAACTTAACCTGCCATTCGTTCACCATCATCACCCACATTAGATTTAAGATCACCAACAAGCATCACTCCTCTGCAAGCATCTGTAACTCTCTCATTCCATCCTATCAGCATGGATAAACACAGATAGTCCTATGCTATAAGCCTGCATGTAAGCTGTCAAACATGGTTCCAGAAAAACACACAGATGGGCTGATGGGTCTCACTCCAAATTTGGGACTGCAAATCTCCCAGGGGCATTCAATACTGTCTAGCAGTCCTACACCGGCCTAAGATTTTTACCTCCTTTTCTCTCTTTGCTCTCAGCTCAGACCTGCTCTATCCCTCCTAAGCCCTCTCTCTCAAGCCCATGACTGTGTCTATATTTTCTCTGAAAAAGACTACCAGCTTTTCTTCATATTCTCGTCACCTATCTACCTACATCCACTCATATTCTCTCTGCCCTTCCAGATTTCTGATGCCAGGCCCCCTCACCTTGTGGTGTGCCTCCCTCCTGTGCCACCCCTCCTGGATCACCAATCTCTCCCTTTCTACCTAATCATTTAATTAATTAGCTAATTTGCAACAAAATGACCCCAGTGTACTGATGCTCCTCTATTTATGATGGGGCTATGTCCTGATAAACCTACCGTAAGATGAAAATATTTTAAGTGGAAAATGCATTTAATACACCTAACCTAACAAACATCGTAGCTTACCCAAGCTTACCTTTGGTGTGTTCTGAACACTTACATTAGCTTATTGATAAGCAAAATCATCTAACAGAAAGCCTGTTTTATCATGAAGTGTTGAATATCTCAGAGGCCAGCGGATTAAGGTGCTGGACTCCCACATGGGTGACCACAGTTTAAGTCCTAGACCCAGAGGCTTGAAAAATCACAGTGGGTATGTGTGCATGCATGTCCCAAATCGCAAGAGGAGACTAAAGAAGGGATTGCAGTGTGGCCATCTCCCCTGGGAGGGTGATTTCTTATTTTCCTTCTCTCTGTCTCTCTCCTGCAAGCACACATGCTCTGTGGGCAAAAACCTTAAAAAAAAAAAAAAGTGTTGACAATTACATGTAATATACTGAATACTATAAGTAAAAAACAATATAATACTTATTATTTTAAGTCAAAGTCATTATCAGCTTTTTAAAAATAAAGAAAGAAAACAAATGGCAATCTGCACCATCATAAAGTTGAAAAATCTAAAGTCACTGTAAGTTGAGTTTTAGGAAAGAGGAAAAAAAAGGTAGCAGTCTAGTATTCTTATTTGATTTCTTTTTAGAGAGATTTTTTTGCAACAGGGTGCATGTGCTCGCCAGAGAGACAGAAAGCGAGAAATCACCTCCTGGGGAGATGGTCACACAGCAAAAATCACCCCCTGAGGGGATGGCCATGCCACAATCCCTTCTCCTTCATTCTCCTCTTGGGATTTTGGGCACACACACACACACACCTAGGGTGACTTTTAAGTCACCAGGTCCAGAACTCGAACAGTGGTCAACTACGTGGGATTTCAGCGACATAACTATTACGTTATCTGCTGTTCGCCATATTTGATTCTTCTTTCTCTCGCTACACACAGTCAATATACCAACATTAACTTTAACACATATCCTATACCCATCTGCTTCTCTCCAGTTCAAACTCCCACTCATCTCAGGCACCCATCCTCTCCCCTAGATAACTGTGGGCCTCCTAATCAGTTATTCTGCTTCTACTCTTGCCTTCCTATAATCCACTCCCCATGCACAGGACGAACCAGACTTTGTCATTTCCCAGCTCAATCTGATAAATCCTGCCATCTGCCCAGCAGCCAATCTGGAGCTCTCAAAACCTTCATGGAATAAATGTGAAACATGGCACCAATCAGTTCAGGTTTCCACACACATCATCTTATATATCTGAAAAATGTTAATGGGGCCTCTCTCCCACTCAGTAAATATTGCATTCTATGTAGCAGCTAAACAAAACAAAACACCCAAAATATAGCAAGCCAACAAAAGGTGAATCCAGTAACTGAAAAATGTCATGTTAAAAAAGAAAAGTTTCAGGACCAGTGGTTAGCATAATGGCTGTCGCTGAACTCCCATGTAGTCGACCAAGGTTCAAGTCCCGGACCCGGTGGCTTAAACTCACACTGGGTGTATGTGTGTGCATGCCCAAGATCCCGAGAGGAGAATGGAGGAGAAGGGATTGTGGTGTGGCCATGAGTTCTCACTTTCTATCTCTCTGTCTCTGTCTCTCTGGAGAGCACACGTGCCCTATAGCAAAAACCTCTCTCTCAAAAAAAAAAGTTTCACTATCAGTATAAGGGCCATTAGCAAACTTGGAGGACATACTAATAATGAGTGGAGGCCTTTGGGTTTCAGAGATAAACACTGGAGAGAGATTGTGAGAATGGGAACAGATGGTGGCAAATGAGAGCTAAACTCTGGAAAAAGAAGAGGTATGACCCAATTTGAAAGGCTGTATTTAATGCACATTAGGAAATGCTCTTCAAAACTGTCCATCCACTCTCGATTGTCACCAGTGCTACTGCTACTGGGCAGGTAGAATTTCATTTCTATGAACCTTGAAGGGAATTGCTGGCATTATAAAAATATAACTTTTATTACTATAAAATTAGTTTCTCCCCATTCTTGCTAAATAAATATTGATCAAAGTTTTTTTAATGTAAATCAGTTTGAAGAGGCACCAAATCATTACTGCCTGTCTGGGTACTCAGACCAGCCAGTACAAAAATAAACTGTACTTTATTTCTACATGCTAACTTTGCCTTGATTTAAAAATGTTCCTTCACTTTTTCCTTGCTTCCCTCAAGTGTGATTTACTCTGGTATGTAGTTTTAAATCCTTTATAAAACAAAGTGGGTGATACATACAAATACTGTCATACATGGTGATAGCTGGCCAGTTCGCAAAAGCCTTAAATCTAACACATACTGGAGCCTTCTGTTATAAAATTATTTTGCTAGTTCTATTTTGAGATCACCTACATAAATCCTTGCCCCTTCTACTCCCCCAAAAAAGAGAAAAAAATTAACAGAGTGGTATCAAGGAGCTCTTCTTTCCACTGTCCATCTATTCAATATGAGGAAGAAGGAAGGATGCCCAATGCCCAACCCAGAACAGGGTCTTCTGTAGTGCGATCAGAAGGCTGTGGAACATAGATCAGGGACTGAATCTGTAAGGGTGGGGGTACCCAGAGCCTTCTGCTAGCATTAACCCTGAGCAGAGATCTGGCCTGCACAAGCTCCCTGGTCACACTCCAATTCTCCGGGTCATAACAACTGGTCCACTGTTTCCCTCTCCACCAGAAAAACCAACTCATTGCAGATCAGAGTATTGTCCTCTGTGGCAATAAACAGAAAAACAGTTTCCCAGTCTCTTCCTTTATCTCTATCCCTGAAGTAAGCATTCAACTCTTTGGGAATTTCTAAGGGTATTTCTTTTACATAGTTAAAAACCAAGGACAATAAGTATCTCCTTTTATAATTCTCTACAGCCTTCACTTCCTCTCTTAGATCATATATAGAGAAACAGTTCTACACAGATGCTAAAGATAAGTCCTTACAGGGACCAGCAGTTAGCGTAATGGCTATGTCACTAGACTACCATGTAGTTGACCACGGTTCAAGTCCTGGCTTAAACTCACACCGGGCATGTATGCGTGTGTGCCCAAGATCCCAAGAGGAGAATGGAAGAGAAGGGATTGTGGCGTGGCCATCCCCCCCTGGGGGGTGATTTCTCGCTTTCTGTCTCTCTGTCTTTCTGGCTTAAGTGCACATGCCCTATAGCAAAAACCTCTCCAAGAAAAGATAAGTCCTTACACAAAAGTACTAGGTCAAATTTGTCTTGTGGATATCCTTGCAAGGAAAAGCAGACTAAGGCTATGCTGTTTCACTGTAGCAATAGAGACCCTGAAGGAGAGATCTAGAAAGAGAGCAAAATTAGAATATATTTATAACTTACCAAATCAGTTAGCCCAGCTAATGCAAAAACTCCTAGTGCAATATTGAAATCTTCTTCGATAATCAAATAGCCCAAAACTGGGGCCAAGCCAATTCTCGTCATTGACAACATATTTGGGATTGTCCATGGGTTTTCATACTGAAACACAAAGACAAAATTTAAATGAAATATTATAGGTTCATACTTTAAATTATATATATATTAGAAAAATATACTTCATCAACTTAAAGATCAAAAGGTATACATAGGGACCAGCAGTTAGCGTAATGGCTATGTCGCTGGACTCCCACGTAGTCGACCGCAGTTTGCATCCTGGACCCAGTGGCTTAAAATTCACACTGGGCGTGTGTGCTTGTGTGCCCAAGATCCCAAGAGGAGAATGGAGGAGAAGGGATTGCGGCATGGCCATTCCCCCCTGGGGGTGATTTCTTGCATTCTGTCTCTCTGTCCTGTCTGTCCGGAGAGCACACGCGCCCTATAGCGAAAACCTCTCCAAAAAAAATTTAAAAAAAGGTATACATAAACTTTAAATTTAGTAGTTTTTAAGTTTTCAGATTCATTCTGTTGTTTTTATAGACATTTCTCTGAGACTGTCTTTCAAGAATACCATACATACATGAAGATGTGCCATGAACTGAAACATAAAGTGTCATATATAGAGAGGGTCATCGGAAAAGTCATGACATTTTTTCCTGTTTTTCTATGCAAAAATATGTCATGACTTTTTTGACAACACTGTATGATTTGTTTTCTTCCTATAGAGGAGACAAATACACATTACCACATAAGTTAAATCTCAAATTCACTAGATTTTAGAAATTTCAACACTTTGCTTTTAAAAGTAAAACACTAGAAAGATCTTGTAAGAAGAAAAGTAGTTGAGGAAGTGTCAGAAAAAAAAGCCAGATTATCAAGACCACCAGATGGCATAATGGTTATGCCGCTGGACTCCCACACAGTCAACTGTGGTTCAAGTCCCAGACCTGGTGGTTTAAAACTCACACTGGGCAGGTGTGTGTGCATGCCTGTGTCCCCAAGATCTCGAGAGGAAAATGGAGGAGACAGGATGGCAGTGTGGCCATCCCACCATGGGATGACTTCTCACTCCCTGTCTCTCTGTCTCTATGGTGAGCATACATGCCCTATGGCAAAAAAAAAAATTAAAAAAACCTCTCTAAAAAGAAAAAAGTCAGATTATCAGCCCCACGCATTTTAGCTTGAAACAAATAACCTCTCACTCCCCTACACACATTTATCAAAAGAATGTTAACTGCTAGGGACCAGCAGTTGGCGTAATGGTTATTATGTGGACTCCCATGTAGTCAATCAGGGTTCAAG